ACAGACTGGGGAAAAAGTATTTGGTAATGACATGTCAGATAAGGGACTTATATCTAGAATTTATAAAATACTTGAACTCCACAACAAGATAAAGACAAATAATTCAATTGAAAAATGGTCACAGGATATGAACAGACACTTCACCAAAGAAGACATTCAGATGGCCGACACTTTTGAGGTCATTGCTGAGATACTGTATCAAACATCTCATTGAGTATCTTACTCTCTTTTGCTGAAATTCCACATAACCAAACTTGATATTCCTTTACAGAACAATTTCATATTTTGCTGTGATTGAGATCAATAAGATAGAACTATATGTAGAGACATGGCAAAGTTCTTTTTTAGTGGAACTTTGAAAGTACTGAAAGTATCACATGATTTTTTGGGGGGTAGAGGGATGTTGACACAATGAGCAGAGATCAGGAAATAAGTATATCTTGATAGTAAAAGAGTCTCTGTGGATAACTTAATTTGGATTATGTGTTAAGGGTTTTTGTTGTTCAAAATGGCTTTCCTAGCTCTGGACTTTGATTTTGCCACGTGGATGGGTGGAAATATGTGAATAGGGTGCGTTAGCCCATCCACAAGGGGCTTGGCCAGTCTAACACTTAATTGAGCAGTTTCGGTGGCAGGTTTTGAGAATCTAACCACCAGCAAAGAGAAGCAGAGACTGCAGCATGTTCCTCAAGGCTGAGATTCTTGCACCAGTCAGAGCTACAAGGGAGCAGCAGCAGCCGCAGTACAAAACCAGAGACCAGACATAATGCAGAGCTGACCTTGAGACTACTACTCCATGGAACCAGAGCTAAGAGGCTTTGCTCACATTTGTAGGAAGACTAGGGGAAGAAGAGGAGCTATAATTCGCAGGACCAAGAACTTTGTAAAAATGGCTCAAAGCTGCAAGGCTGAAGTACTTGTGGCACATTTCAGAAGCTGTCCCAATTGATTGTGTCTTGCTGCCACCCTGACTAGCTGCCCTGTGACCTTCACGATATGGTTTTGTGCAGTTTGTAGGCTATTAAAATGGATTTTGGACCCGGTAGAGAAGTAAGATTGGTGTTGGGATGAGTGGAAAGAGATATGGGAGCATAGGAGACATGTCTGACCTCATAGGAATTGGTCTTGTTTGGATGTTGTTGACAGGGACAGTTCTCCATTGTGGAATTGGTGGAGGTCAGCTCTTGCTCTTTATTTTCCTTTTTTTTTTGGTTTACTAAGTAAAAAAGCTTACTTGTTTATTTTAAGCTATTTTTACTTTAATAAGACATTCTTTTGTGTCTAATTTAGAAAAAAATTTGATTAGAAGTTGTTTCCAAGTTTTAAAATCAGAAAAATACCTATTTATAGTTTATGAATCATAAATTTTGTTTTCTCCACTAATTTGAATTCTAGTAATGTTGTCTCATTCATAATTTTCTTTTCTTTATAATTGTTCTAGTAAAACTGATCAATTAAGAAAAGATAGGCCTAATTAATATTTTTGCATGCTATGTGGCATCAGGATTATAGGAAGACTCAACAATAACCTTGGTATACAGATGACAGAACCTTGCTTGATCTAAGAGAGGAAGACTTGAAATACCTGCTGCAGAAAATCAAACACTGTAGCCTTCAGTATGAATTGCATCTCAACATCAAGAAAACAAAAAATTTTACCACTGGACCAATATGCAACATCATGATAGATGGAGAAAAGATTGAAACTGTTAACAACTTCATCTTACTTGGATCTACATTCAATACACTTGGTACTAGCAGTCAAAAGATCAGAAGATGTACTGGATCTCTCCAAATTATTGAGGACCAGTGATGTTAGTTTGAGGACTAAGGTATGCCTGCTTCAGATCATGGTATTTTCAATCATTTGTTCTGCTTCTGAGAGCTGGAAAATGAATAAGGATGACAGAAGAGATGCCTTTGAGACGTAGAGATGGAGAAGAGTAATGAATCCCATGGACTGCTAAAAGAACAAACAGATATATCTGGGAGGAGGTGCAACCAGCATGCTCCCTGGAGGCAAGAATGATGAAGTTTAATCTCACATACTTTGGGCATGTTGCTAAGAGAAGCTACTACTTGGAGAAGGACATCATGCTTGGAAATGTGGAGAGATGGTGAAGGTGAGGAGTATCTTCAACAAGGTAGATTGACACAGTGACTGCAACAATGGATTCTAGTGTGTCAGAGATTATGAGCATAGCACATGATAGGACAGGGTTCAAATCTATTGTTTGTAAGGATGGATATGAGTTGTACTCAACTCCACGGCACCTAACAATAACAGCAGCAGAAGCAGCAGCAGAAGCAGCAGCAGAAGCAGCAGCAGAAGCAGCAGCATGCTTCCATGAGGAATTTGCTTGAAGTATCCATTAGAGAGTCTGGAAAGGGACACATTAGACAGGTCTTTGAAAAATGTAACTTGAAGCTTCTTAGTGTTGACTACTATTTTGAATTAGTATCTTTCCACCTCTGCAATGAATGATCTAGAAGGTTCTAGATTATCAGACACAATGTCAGATTAAGATCAAACGATTACCATATTGTAACCTCAGGTTTCTATTATGGAACATAGAAACAGCTTGCTCATAAAAGCCCAGATTTAAAGCTAGATTCACAAAGTCTACATTTTGGCTGAGTAAAAAAAAAAAGAAAAATTGAGCTTCAAATTCTTCATCCAGTAAATAGAGAGGTAGGCTCACTTTAATGTATTATTGTCTTTATTTTATGTGCTATTAAGTCAGAACCAACTCATAGTAGATGACCCTCCAGTGGACATAAATCATATGTGAGGAGATTATTCATTTTTCTGCTCTGTCATGTTGAGTCACCCATGCTGCTAGATAACCATTCATTCATTCATCTACTCAGAAAGAATTACCAAATACCTACTAGATGATGTCAGTTACAGTTCAGAAGTTGTGCTCCAAATACAATCTTTGTCTTTACGGAGTTTACAGTAAGGAAAAGTGGGAGAAACAAATAGACACATAATATTCAATAGACGGAGCAGGGGAACACTGCATGGTTTAAAGTGGAAAAGAGTGTGTCAGGGTTGTATTCTCTCTCCATATCTATCAGTCTGTATGATGAGCATATTATCAGAGAATCTGGACTCTCTGAAGAGTGTGGAATCAGGATTGGAGGGAGACTGACTCATCATTAACCTGAGTTATGCAGATGACACAACCTTGCTTGTTTAAAGTGAGGAGGACTTGAAGTATTTGTTGAAGAAGATCAAGGAATGCAGCCTTCATTATGGATTGCTTCTCAATGTCAAGAAAACAAAGATTCTTACCTCTGGACTGATAGGCAATGTCATGATTGAAAGAGAAGAGATGGAAATTGCCAACAGATTTACCTACCTTGCTTGGATCCACAATTAACACCTTTAGTACCAGCAGCAGTCAGGAAAGGAGGAGACACATTGCACTGGGAAAACCTGCAGTTAGGGATCTCTCAAAATTATGGGGGGAGGAATGATGTCAGTTTGAAGACTAAGGTGCATCTATTTCAGGCCATGGCCTTACTGATTAATAGCTATGCATCTGAGAGCTGGACAATAAATAAGGATGACAGGAAAATAATTGATGTCTTCGAATATGGTGTTGGATGAGAGCACTGAACATACCACGGACAGCCAAGAAAATGAACAGATATGTCTTGGGGAGGGTACCACTGGAGTGCTTTTAGGAGGCAAGAACAAGAAGGCTTTGCTTCATGTACTTTGGGCATCCTATTCCTTGGAGAAGGACATGATGCTGGGAAGGGTGGTGGGTCAGCATAGGAGAGGAAGACTCTCAACCAGGTGGATTGACAGGGTGACTGCTGCAGTGGGCTCTTGTGTGTCAGGGACTGTGAGGACGGTGCAGGATAGAACAGGGTTCTGATATTTTTGTCATTGGGTTGTTATGAGTCATACTTGACTCAACAACAGCTAACAACAACATTCAGTAGCAAAATAAAATTGTCTTCCATAATAGACAGTAATACACACACATATACATATATAATGTTAGATAGTAAAAAAGCACTACATTATCTCAGGTTATATAGACAATAGTTTATGTCTATTTGTTTCTGTCTCTTTCCCTAAAAGCAGAGACTTTTTGTCCACATTGTCGGCACAACTTCTAGAAATGTAACTGACATGTAGCAGGCATTTTAATCTGATTCCCTCACCCTAGTTTCTTGGTCTCAGCAGACTGAAGCCTACTTTGTAGTTTCCTCACAGCTGACTTTATCTCTTGGTTCCTCAGTGTGTAAATCATGGGGTTCAGCATGGGTGTCATGACGGTGTTGTTGATGGAGATGGCTGTGTCCATGGGCAGCGTAATGAAGGGCCGGCAGTAGATGTAAATGCATGGCACGAAATGAAGAGTCACCACCATGATGTGGGAGGTGCAGGTGGAGAGCGCCTTGTTCCACCCCTCCCCCGAGTGTGAGCGCAGCATCACCAGAATGGCGGTGTAAGACCCCAGGAGCAAGAGAAACCACACGAGGGTCAGCAGCCCGTTGTTAGAGATCATGAGAAGCTCCAGAGTGGAGATGTCAGTGCAGGCTAGTTTTACCACCTGGGGCACATCACAGTAGAAGGCATCCAAGACATTGGGGCCACAGAAGGGCAGTGGGAGCATCAGAATTATCTGGACAATTGAGTGCACACCGCCTCCCACCCAGGAGGCCACCACCAAGCTCACCCACACCTCCCTCCTCATAATGCTCACATAGTGAAGGGGTTTGGCAATTGCGAGGTACCTGTCATAGGCCATGACAGAGAGGGAA